ACACTGAAAACCTCGTTGCTGACTAGTTGAGTGATAATCGGATGCGCCGAAAATCCAATGTCGCTCAGATGCCCGCCGACCCCGTGGAGCACTAGGCGCGCGAGAGTCCTTCTCCCCGATGAGCGACTAACATCGCCGCGCAGCACGGGGGCGAGGGTGAATCAAGGGGTCGGCGGATGCGGCGAAAGCCAAGAATCTTTAAGCGATGCAGCTTGCCGCAAGCCTACACACATTCTGCGGCCACCCTTGAAGTGTCGCGTGTTGAGTGCCCGAACCACATGAATTAGGGTCGGAAGCACAACAAGAACACATAGAAGTGGCTCGAAAGGGTGTCTCGACTGGAAAGAGGTCACCACAACTGCGGCACACGGGGGCCGGTGGCTGCGCCAGTCCGCCCGACCCCCCATCCCAATGCGCTTCTTCAAGCCATGCAACCTGCCCCGGTACACGCTCTTGGTGCTTCCTGGAGAAGTGGAGAGCCCGTCGCAACAAGTACGCGCGGACCTGGCTGGGAACCATCATATTCAAACGCTGCAATGGATGCGCAGCATTGCCCAGTCTTGCGCCAATTCCTGAGACTGCGCTTTGCACAAGACTTAACAGAAATTAAACCGAACGTGATATCTTCCAATACTTTATGGTGCCACTGTGCACACGGAATTCGGAGAAACAGTATTTCCCATCAAGATTCACAACTCGTTTTAATCCAGAGCGCCCTATAACCCGGAGAAGCTCTTAAGAAACCCCGCCCCCCCCCCCCCCTTTCCGGCGCAGCGATGACCCTTCCGCACCCTGGAAGCGATATCCCGGCACCAGGAGGGGGTTCACCCTGTGTTTCCTTAGCTTTTCCTTTGTTTCCTTAGCTTTTCTATGGCTTCCCTATATTGTAATTTGTTGTGTTAGCTTCTTTTTTTCTTGGATTTTCCTTGGCTGCCTTAGAATGTCATGTGTTTTCTCAGCTTGCTCTTGGTTGTCTTAGCTGTTCCTTGGTTTTCTTAGCCGTTCAATGGATTTCCCTGGCTCAATTATAATCAGATTCGTTCATGCTTCAACTTGCACTGCGACCCATTCATACTCTGGCTCGGAGACTTTTTGGGAGGGCCTGCCGGGTGCTAAGATAACGC